AGATAAGCAAAGATGGGCGACAGAGAGGGGAAGGCGGCTGAAAAAAAAAAAAAAACATTTTGTCACAAAAGAAACCCCGGTTCATTCCTAAGTATAGTCTTACCGGACAATAAAAAGTGATGGATAGGTTTCAATCTAAGGCAGCTGATTTAGTATCATTTCATAAAAAAAAATCATAAAAATAAAAACCAGTTCACAACGTTTTGGATGCACAGTCACTTATACTAGAAAGAATAATTACGCATTGCCAAAATTGTATTTATTTCTGATTCACTTATTCATCTATTTACAAAAAATGTTGATGCTTTTATAATTTAATAAAAAAAGTCTTTAAAAATGTACAAGCGTATTCCATAAATGGCGTTTACTATTGGCTGGTTTAATATTTAATCTATTTTTGATTTCAAAAGTGCAGTTTCAATTTAAATTGCCTCCCGAAGAATCCAACTCACAGACGATCATGAAAGCGGGATTGAAGAAGCTGAAATCGAAGGCCTTCTTTGCGTTCTTGACGAAAGGATCATCCTTGTTCTGCTGGGAGTCAACTTTGAGGCCGAATCCACACTTGGCAATGGCGTCCATGGTGAAACCACCAAACAACCTAAAGATAAACAAAACAGGGTGAATGGGGGCGCTGTACTTAACAAACGCCATATTGGGGGTACCAACAGACGTGAACCTCGGGTTAATGAAGTAGGTTTCAATGATGCTATTTGCAATTCCATTTCCAAACATTACAATCTTCCATTTTTAAATTGAAATAAAGTTACGAGATTTGTTTCAATGCAATATTTTTACTGTTCGAAACGAAATAATGGGGTGGTTTATACTGCGCCTTATTCGCCCAAAAATGATGGCCAATTTTCCCAACAATTGACATTAGATTCTTGGCGCTTTGGAAGACTTTTACTCAATAAAATATGTTTTTCGGTACATGTAGTTCATTAACAATGCTCTTTTAGAGCTTTCTAAGATTCAGTACGAAAATAAGTCAAATACTAACTCTGGGGGAGGTGAACCTACGTCCGATCGATTAAAGTACAGGAGTCTTAAACACTCTACCAGCTTTCTTGTCCGAGTTCAAACTCCAACACAGCAGCGAGTACAACAACTAAGGACCTAATAAACATCGTCTTTTTTTTACAATTTCCAAATGCTTGTTATGATAGAAAAATATCAATATACATTAGTATCACATGATTATTTCGCTTGTATCTTACACTCTGCAGTCGGCGGCTTTTCCTCCCTCCTGGGCCTTGCTGAAACTTGCCACCAAGGTATCACAACATTCATTGATCGTCTCCGACATCTGCAAAGATTTCATTCAAAGACAACTTACAATTACATTGCCTGAAGGTCTCAAACAACTAAAGGTTGAGTTGAGTCAAAAAGAAGGTAACCTAATGAGAAAAAATATTTTGAAAAATATGTGGCTCGCACTATTTAGTAAAAAATGAAAAAAAGGATAAAACGCATATTACTGACTATTGTAACTGTGAAAAGTTAAAAATCTTAATACAAACATTACAAAATTCAGCTTTCCACCAATTATCATTTACCGTTCAAGTACAATGAAACAAGGGCGTTTTCTGCCTTATGAATGAAGACAATTTGCATAGGAAAAGAACACGCACAAAATCACCGTTATTATTTCAAAAACAATTCCTCATTTTCAAAACACAAAATCTAACAGTGAAAGTAATGTTTGAATCTTGACAAAACCTATATCAATCTCATTTGTATCTGAATGCCTGTGCGATGTAATCTCTGGTTCTCACTCAGCTCGATAGCTTCAAACTTTATTCAATGGGCAGCTGTAAATTCTCACTAGAATAAAGTGCATTTCACTATTTGGAAATTTGGAAATTAAAGAGCAGCAAAGTAAAAAGCAAACAAAAAATACAAGGAAAAAAAACAAACAAACACCTCGTTCTACTATAAATTTGACAGTTGATTCTTTTGAATACTCTTTCATAAAATCTTACCAGTCTCATTTTGGAGGCACTGAATGACGGAGTGATGACGTTGCGTATCTCTTTCCATTCTTCGTTCGCAAGCTGAGTCAAGCCTCTGTTCAAGGGCTTTTGCCCGAGTGGGAATTTCTGCCCAAAACAGAATGGAAAACACAAATATTCGAATGAAACGTAAAATACCAGCAACAGTGCGATAAACATGTGGGAAAGGAAGGCGTGAATTGATGTGATTCGGATGAAAAGTTTTAAATTCTTACCCTCCTGTTGTAGAAACTGGAGAAATTCTTGACCAAGACATTCTTCAAAATGTCAGGATCATTGATAATCAGTACTGGACGTCGGAAATCATACATCCTGGAATAAATAAAACAGAAGAATTATCAATTTAATAGAATATAATCGATAAATTGTTTAAAAAAAAAAAAAAAAAAAAAAAGTAGAAATACAATTCAAATGTTACATTCGCGTTATTGTACGTACCCGACGACTCTGCCATGCTTCTTTACGTACTCGGTAAAAGTGTGTTGGAGTCCCTGCGAACACAGAAAATTAATAAGGAAAAGTCTCTGTAGAATGCTTTCAAAAATAAATGTTTTGCCAATATTCCTGAACATTCGTTGAAAAGTCTACCAACGTTTGTTGTTGAACGGCCAAGAAGGTATACTGTTCGCCAGAAAACAGTCATCGGGAGTATGCAGGACCGTTTCGTAGTTAGAAACTACGTTTAGAAACTTTCGTATTTAGAAACAAGTTTGTTTACGGCATTTACTGACAGTCACTCGTTTGTTTATATCAGGGGAATATTCTTCCGGCAAAATCATCAACTGACAAAACCATACGGAAAATATTAACTTTTTTTATCAGCAAAACATGGAAAATCTTACATGACGCCATTGCAGTATGTTCCCAAAGAAAGGAATGTAGTCGGCTACAGGGATGCCACACCTCTGAAAATACTGGTGACACCACCGATCATACCTGAAAATCAAGTAGGGAAAGAGTCACAAAATGCTTCCAATTCTCAGATGTTGTCCATAGTTCATAGCAACGATTCCGTGAAATATATAGTTTTCTCAGCCTATTTTACCAAGTTTTCATTCAATTTAACACCTGCTCATTCAGTTTAGATTAAAATTGATAGATCACGCAGATCGTCATTCGACCCGCCAAAAAAGATCTTTCAAAAAGCGAACAATCATGGACATTTTCGCTCTTCATCCCTGCAAATTTCCCGAAGGACGTACAATTTTTCCGACAGGCCGATTTCGCCGTCCCCATTTTGCTCCTATCAGCGTCCCGTTTAAAAATTGGGACCTCAGAAGAAAATGGGAAATATATCAATTAAAACATCTTAATAATTGAATGACCAAACGATGAAAATGACTGCCCATAAACGCATAAGTAAAGAAAAAAGTGGGCTTACGTCACATGCCCAGCAACGTTCACTAATTTGAATGCATTTACCGTCAAAAGATGTCAAAAACTTAATGTATGAATGCTGCAAATTAAGTATGGAATGCACCAAAACGACATAAAATGCCCCAAAATGAAAATTGAAATTGAATGCAGCAACAATGAAAAAGAAACCCAATTGGATCCGATGTGTCAAAATCACGCGAAATTGAATGGCCAATAATGAAAATGATCAGAAAAATTGGGAAATTGGCCAGGAAACCTATACTACGTACAAATCCAATTTTACAGGCAAATACACGGTTACAACACGTAACTATCATGAAAATACGGATCGAATGTCGAAGCGGCTCAAAAGCTCAAATCGCTTTAATTTTGTTTTGTTACTGAGCCTCGCCTTTGAAAAAAATCCTCGCCATTAAAATACACATACCCTCCTCCCGTAAAAAAAAAGGCCGAGACCTTAATAGATACACTTGGCAATTAAACAATTACCATTATTGTCAAAGGTATGAATTTAGAAGTTGTAAAATCTGATATGAGAGTTTGGTCTGTTACACCGGCCTACGTTGGCAAGACCATGTCTCACTCTAAATCCAAAATCAGCAAACATTTTACGGCACACACCACCCCCGCAAGTTAAAGCAGTTTGTCAAGTGCAGTGGACTGGAAGGGTTGCATGTACACTGTATTAAACTGTATTTTGGTGGTAAAGTGAATAACACGGTTTATTTGGCTTGACTTGGTTACTATACATGTTTAACGATAAGGTTGCTTCGAGTCATTGTGTTCACAATTGCACGAAGTCCAGACAAACTTGACGACTCACCAGGAAACCCGAAACCAGACCGAGGTTTGAGCGCTCATACTACGCATGCTTATGGGTGTTCCAAACCTTGGCTTCGTCATCACTTCGGCTTCATGCTCCAAGATCATTTTGAAGTCCGTGTTTTTTATGCCAAAGCCAAATGGAACTTCTTTCAAAACGTTGGCCTGATAACTATTGCAAATTGATGTTTATCGAGAAGAGTATAGTTGTGATGGGCTCATCTATTCTCCTAAACTCAGGGGCCTAAAAATCTACTGGAACGATCTCAGAATGAAATCGAGATTTCGAAAAAGCCACAGCTCAGGCTGGAACTGGTCCAGCTGACGGCGCGGCGAAAAGCAAACGCAACTTGCAGCTGATAATATTCAGGCCGTTTTCATTATACAATAAGCAAACGCAGAGACAATGACTGCTGCAACGGGATTTGTTGGGCAATGTCCAATACTAGATCATTCGTTATAGGCTGTACAGTATTTCTCAGTGACTATTAATGCGATACGGTTTCTCTTATGTGAATTTCATATACGTATATGCAATTAAAATCTGTGCTGCTGAAACTCACAAGCCCTTTTTATGTAATTCTTGTAATGATGATGTTTTCCCTTACAAAGCAATACAGAAACACAAGAATCATTTTGACCGTTGGTAAAGCATTTCTGGCAAATTGTGACATGTACATCAAAACACTAATGCTATACCGACAATAAACCATGACTATAGATAACATCACTGCCTATCTCATAAATACACGGTATACAGAATAAGTACAAACCAAAAGACCACGCCAAACAATAATGACAAATTACCAATATTTCAAATTTAACGGATTCCTGTAACGTTCTGTTGCACCGGCCATTGAACAGTTCAAGGCCGTATTGTAAACAAACAACAATCGATTGACGTTCCTTGCTCTATGCTCATGCACTCTCACCACAGAACGGGAATATAGTGACACAAGCGTTTCACCGAGAAAGTCGTGCATGTGAACAAAATTTAAGGAATTTTGACGAGATCATTTACAAGTACGTACCAAACTGATATGAGAACGAAACCGATAATCAACAGCCATGTCACGGACAAGTCAAATCCCAACAGCTCCATGATATTTTGACCACAAATTCCCACAAACTACTGCTCGATCAACTTAACTACTCAGATCATACAATGCACCCGTACTCTGACGTCCCTGGTTTATATAGGCTGACAAACAGAACCAGCTCGAGGACACACGAGCACAGGTGGTAGAATCCATTTACTCAAAAGGGGTGTTCAGAGTTATGTTCACCCTGCCTGGTACAATGGACAGTGACATCATGTGTATTTGCAGAGTGATAACTATAGCGTGCAAACGGAATTACCTCATTTTAGCCTCCGATTTCGCGATGCGATTCGAGCTTGCTTGTTGATATCCACCATCCGTTCCATAAAAGGAGCCTGAATAACATTCAAATCACCAAACTGATGCAATAGTGCACGGTGTTTCTGAAAGCTGATGGGCAAACAAAATATGTTTAGCGAGAAGCTAAAATGACCAAACATGGTAAAACTAGTATACACAGTGCGTGACTAGTACATTATTTTTTGTCAGTCTTTCGTTGCATAAGTCGTAACTCTCAACATAAGCCTTAAACAGCCGGTATTACCAAAGTGAACCAATGTGAACTAAATTTTTTGCAATTTTTCGTGGAATTTGTGCTAAGATATATTTTCACGCATTTTTCAAAGAGTAAAAGGCATTTTTCCTTTTCTGAAATTGAAACAAAGATAAAATTGTGTTAAAAATGGCACTGTCCTCTCATGCCATCAAATGTCGAGAAATGTCCTCTCTATTTAAGGAACAATTCAGAAATTGGGTTCTGGTGGTGGGGGAAAGAACCTGAAGTAGCAGTATACGATTCGACATGAGGTGGGTATTGCCTGTTCATTCATTGTTATCAACGGAGTGAGTATTACGCATCAACTGATAGTGCTTCAATAAAGGTGGGACGGCTTAAGGACAATGATAATTTGTCCACAAAATGGTGTTTCTCTAGGATATTACCCCAACATTGAAATCTGCAGCGTGAAGGGGATCTTTCTGTGATGATTATTAACCCAGAATCGAAGTCCATACCATTTGCGTGGATGAGTTTCAATGTACATGTACATGTACATGTAGTATTATCTCGTCAGTCAGAAGGGCTTGAGATAATATTATCTCTTGATGCATTGGGGGTCTCTCTGTGATAATATCCGCACAGTGAAGTCAGTAGGCTTGGGATAATATTATCTCTTGATGAAGTGCGGTCTCTCTGGGATAATATTATTCCAAGACAAATAAGTTTGTGGTAGCACCATGTGAATAAATCTCTTTTCTGAGTATGTGTGGTTCTGAAAAGAACAGCAGGGCTTGGGATAATATTATCTCCTGATCTAGTGGGGGTCTCTCTGGGATAGTAGTATCCAAGAAAAGCAATGAGCAGGCCTTGGGATAATCTCCTGATGCAGTGGGGTTTCTCTGGGATAATATTATCCCAGCAGTGCAGTCAGTAGGGCTTGGGATAATATTATCTCCTGATGCAGTGGGGTCTCTCTGGGATAGTATTATCCCAGCAGTGAAGTCAGTAGGGCTTGGGATAATATTATCTCCTGATGCAGTGGGGTCTCTCTGGGATAATATTATCCCAGCAGTGCAGTCCGTAGGGCTTGGGATAATATTATCTCCTGATGCAGTGGGGTCTCTCTGGGATAATATTATCCCAGCAGTGTAGTCAGTAGGGCTTGGGATAATATTATCTCCTGATGCAGTGTGGTCACTCTGGGATAATATTATCCCAGCAATGAAGTGAGCAGGGCTTGGGATAATATTATCTCCTGATGTAGAGGGGTTTCTTTAGGATAATATTATCCAGCAATGAAGTCAGTAGGGTCTCTGGATAATGTTATCCATCGGTGAATTTTGTGATGTTTATAGCTGGGTCTTTTGGGATAATATTATCCCAGCATTGTAGTCTACACTGTTAAGTGGGCTTTCTCTGAGCTATTTTTCTCTGAACTTAACATTTACATCTAAGTAGCGCAGCTCAACTAGAGATATTTGGATAGAACTTTGGATATTATCCAGAATTGTTTGTGTCCTTCCATAACAGTTAGATTCGAACTATCAATGAAATGCAAGCTCACTGCAAAAATTGAACACTTAATACTGAGGTACTTCAAATGATATAAAATCCCGTTATTTTATTTACCCTAAGTAAATAGCCAAATACATGTATGATTGATACATTACTTATTATTAAAACTTTGTTATGAATTATCTTCAAAAATTGAACCTCAATCAGTTTTTATGGAGATTGTTTTGTGCGATGTAATACTAATGATTATTGTTCACTAAACTGTTGCTCTCAAAGAAAAGCTGTAAAATGTCCCAACAATTTTCATACGTTAGTCTTTTCTTGCATAAGCATAACTATAATTATGGCACACATGTAACCGATCAAAGTGCAACACACGTGACCACAAAACAATTCCAAAAAGCAGAGGGTGTACATGTACATTATTTAACGTTTGTGCATACTGTAAAGAGTAATCTTACTCTCAAGTGAGTATGAGTGCGTGTGTCAGAACTTTGGAGGAAAGAGTGAAAAGTTTCCGGTATAGGCTCAAAAACATTTTCATGTGTAATGTCACAAGTTATAATTTGATGATGACTCCTAATATTTTACATTTTATATGGTAGCATCAGTACATTGAGGTAGGGAGTAACAAGTACTAACCTGGGCCCAATTTCATAGAGCTGCTTAAGCACAAAATTTTATTGAGCACGAAAAAACATTGCTCAGTAAAATCACGTAACCCGCCAAAACTCCATGCGATGTACATTGCTTGTGACCAAGGGCGGATCCAGAACACAATTTTTTGGGGGAAGGGGGGCCAAAAAAAAAATTGGTGCCCCAAAAAATTGGGTCCAAAATATTACGGCGTGGGGTTCGGGGCCCGCTTAAGGGCCCCGAAAATTTGTTGGATTCTAGATGCTCTGTGCGATCTGAGGCAATTTCTGACCACTTTAAACCAATGTTTTTTTTGAGGAAAAGATGGTGGTGTACTCATTGCATGGCCCCCTTTGGCCCCCCCCCCCCCCCCCCCCCCCCCCCTCGGATCCGCCCTTGCTTGTGACTGGTATTTAGCTGTTGTTTACTTAGCATAACAATCGAAGGGAGTTTTGGCCGGTAACCTGATTATATAAAGCAAGATTTTTTTTGTGCTGAAGCAAATTTTGTGCTTAAGCAGCTCTATGAAATTGGCCCCAGATGAATCAGCAGTTAACAAGAAGTAATTAAGCTCTGAAAATCAGAAAAGGCCATTTTTTGTCACAAATTGACAAAAGAATGGCCTTCAATTAAAACACTTCATATGATCATCTATACGGGTATGTATCTCATACGATTAATGTTCATATTATCATATTTTTAGCTGCCACATTTGCGGACTGATGACATTGGTAGGCCTATGTCTACTTCATGCCAAGCATGATTAGTATTACATGTAAATCTATACCATGGATTCACCAATGTATCAAAACTTCCCACTGCAATACAGGTATCTATCTCTTACGATTAATTTTCAGATATTTTTCAGTAGCCACACTTCTGGACTCTGATAAAAATGGGTACGCTTATAGTCATGCTGAACATACTTAGTAGTGAATAATTACGATAGACTGCCCATTAATGCTTATGGTTACAAAGACTGTCTTTCAATGAGGTGCTGCCATTGTCCTCGCTCTGGCTTTCCTCCTCTGCCCTCACCTGCATGAGGGCAGCCACTTTGACCTTCAGCTGCCTCTAAAAACCTCTTGTGGCTGTACGTCAACGACATTTTGTCTGCCGTTTGACTCCCGCCGTGCAGCAAGAGTTGCTTCGCCTGTAAGAAATTAATGCAAACATTTGGATAATTAAACATTATTTGGAGTTTCAATTCAACCTTTATGTACATCTACTGGAAGAGACACCATGTGCAGCATTATCTTCCAATAATTCAAAGTTAACCAGAAATATGCATACTCTCTTAACAAAATTATGCTCAAATCCATGTTGGTTGGAATATACGAGTTGTTGGAGAATACGAG